ATGTGTGTAGAGTTTGGTGTCAGCGTTGTTTGTGTTGTTCACTTGTGTTCCTTTGGTGGTGAGAGAGGTTGGGGTTGGCCTAGGGTGTGATTGTTTGCTTGTGATTGGCTGTGGTGATCTTTGTTTTCGTGTGTGAGTGAGGTGGGTGGGTGTTTTGGATCAGGTTAGCCATATTGATTTGTATGCTGTTGGTGGATTATTGTCATTGTCCTGTTGGGCTGTGTGTGTGATAAAGGGGAGCCATACCGGGGTGAAGGTGTCTTCTTCTGTTTGTCCCCGTGTCAGTTTCAGTTTATTAGTTAATTTTTCTAGTAGGGCTGTTTCCCATACTATTTGGTACCATTGGTCCATGCTTACTCCTGACAGGTCTCTCCAGTGTCTGGTTATGGTATTTCTGGCTGCTGAAAGCAGGTGGGTTATGAGTTCTTTGTGGTGTAAATGGGCATTGTTGTCTTGGATGTGTTGCGACACATTGGTGTGTGGTCTGCAGTGTGCAAGTGTGTGCTTCTCCTGGGGCTGGAAGGGGGTTAGTTCCACCTCCAGTTTGCTAGTAAAACTGAATTACTGTGTCGCGAAATGATGTGTGTCCCTGTGGATCCTGCTACCTGAGGTTTGTCTCCTCCCCATGTCTCATGGGTGGGCCGGCCCTGCCATTGCTCATCTATTTTGGAGCAAACTGTCACGGTGCTCTATCATCTTTAAAGCATGTGCAGTGAGAAGGTTTTATACAGTCAACGGCAGGTATGAAAAATGGAGAGGGGCGGGGAGGGGGAGATGTCAAAATAGAAGCAGGGCACAGAGTGTACATGTACGATGACAGGCTTGGAAAAAGCAAAGGTAGAGAATGCTAGGAGGGAAATTCAACAACAGAAGCTGAGGCTTTGATTGGCCGGCCAAGGTAATACTGTACTGAAAATCATTTACAGGAGCATCATGCTCTCTGTAGAAACTCATGCACCCACAATCGAAAGAAACATGAATCCCAAGAGGACAGAAGGAACTCCAAAGGCTAACTAGTCCAATCACGAGAGCCAGTGTGGTGTTGTGGTTAAGAGCGGTGGACTCGTAATGTGGTGAGCCGGGTTCGCTTCCCTGCTCCTCCACATGCAGCTGCTGGGTGACCTTGGGCCAGTCACACTTCTCTGAAGTCTCTCGGCCCCACTCACCTCACAGAGTGTTTGTTGTGGGGGAGGAAGGGAAAGGAGAATGTTAGCCGCTTTGAGACTCCTTCGGGTAGTGATAAGGTGGGATATCAGATCCAAACTCCTCCTCCTCCTCTTCTTCTTCTTCTTCATGAATAGTGATCTTCCACATCCAAACAGCCATTCCCAATGGACTGGTGCAACGAATAACAAAACAAAACAATCTAGATTGTTGTTCTTCGCATGTAGGAGGAAACAAGGCTAAGCGTGCCAAGTGAGCTCATAGGGCAAATTTCCTTTAGAAACAGAATGGAGAACACCCTGCAAAGTGGGGTCTAAAAGCAAAGCCCCTTGGCTCTTTGCAATCAGCCCAGCTGTCCAGGATCTCAGTCTCCAGCGGCAGTAACTCCTACAAGTTTTAGGGGCAGAACACTTTTTTTCTTGTCAATCACAAGACAGCATATCAAAATTAAACAAAATCTCTCACTCATGCTCACAGTTTTAAAACTAAAAAGCTAGTAGTTTCTTTGATGTTTCTTTGGGAGGCTGTTACAGGACTTCATTCCTTTGAGACTCAGAACAATTTTTCTGGTCAACACTTAAAATCTTTTTTGGGAGGAAGGGGGAATTATTTTATTAAGTTTGAGAAACACTACAGAAGATTGTCTTGGAGGAAGGTGCATACCTCTTTTCGCATTAAAACATATATACAAATGGCAAACAGTATAATTTGAACATACCACAATTAACTAATCCTTTTATATCAAGGCCAGGAACCTTTACCTTGTTGCATTTAGATTCAGGTAGGTAGCTGTGTTGGTCTGATGCAGTCGAAATACATAAAAAAATTAAAAAATTGTTCAGTAGCACCTTAGAGACCAAATAAGTTTGTTCTTGGTATAAGCTTTCGTGTGCATGCACACTTCTTCAGATATACTGAAACAGAAGTCACCAGACCCTTATATATAATGGGAGGGTGGGGTGGGGTTTTTCTCAGCAGGGTAGTAGGAAATGGGTGATTGAGTCAATGGGTATGGTAAACATGTTGACGACTGTTAACGACTGCAATTAGTTCTACAGGAAAAAGCAAGGGATAGTATGCAGATAATTAACATATGTAATGAGACAGGCATCCAATATCTCTATTAAAAAGGTAAAGGGACCCCCTGACCGTTAGGTCCAGTTGCGGACGACTCTGGGGTTGCGGCACTTATCTCGTTTTATTGGCCAAGGGAGCCGGCGTACAGCTTCCGGGTCATGTGGCCAGCATGATTAAGCCGCTTCTGGCGAACCAGAGCAGCGCACGGAAAAACTGCTTCCTGCCAGAGCAGTACCTATTTATCTACTTGTACTTTGACGTGCTTTCGAACTGCTAGGTGGGCAGGAGCAGGGACCGAGCAACAGTAGCTCACCCCATTGCGAGGATTTGAACCGCAGACCTTCTGATCGGCAAGCCCTAGGCTCTGTGGTTTAGACCACAGCGCCACCTGTGTCCCAGTAACATCTCTATTAAGATCTGTCTTAATAGGATTCCTGTCTCATTACATACTAATTGCAGTTATTAACAGTCGTCAACAGGTTTACCATACCCATTGAGTCAATCACCCATCTTCTACTACCCTTCTGAGAAAAATCCCACCCCACCCTCCCACTATATATAAGGGTCTGGTGACTTCTGTTTCAGTGTATCTGAAGAAGTGTGCATGCACACGAAAGCCTATACCAAGAGCAAACTTAGTTGGTCTCTAAGGTGCTACTGGACAATTTTTTAATTTTTTTATATATTCCGTTGCATTTAGTTGCCCAGCATACAAAGAACAGAAACAAATCAGACTCACATTAAACAACATACTACTTTTTTTACACCAGTTTACTGATACTATTTAAGAGCGATTGCTAGCAAGCTGTCCAGCATATGCAACCCAAGACACATTAAATAATAGGGCCAGTTGCCAGACATTGAAACATATTTCTGCAGAACTCAGTTCATTTTTAAATACTCCAGATTATTTTAGGCTGATCCCTACTGAAGATCTGCACCTACAACAAATATCAATCCAGAGGATATTGTTTTTATGTGCAAACGTTAAATAAGAAATCAGTGCTGCAAGGCATACAAATTTGGAAGAGAGGGATTATATAACATGCTTTTTGAAGACTGCTGCAGCACATTTCCATGTCAATGAGGGAGAAGGCTAGGAGTATAGCAACTGAATTGATCTGCCTGGCTTTCATTCTCCAGTCCAGTCTGATTCCCCAGCTAAAAATGAGACAGATCTTCCCAGGGGAAGACGGGGCTGGACACAATGTATGCTAATATCTCAATTGGACATAATCTATTTTCTTTGTAGCCCTTACAAGAATCCCTCAAAGTGGTTGCCCATTCATAGAAATCTGCAAAATGAACAAGCGAATTGTAAAATATTACAAGCCCTAACGTGGCTCTTAAAGAGGCCCAAAACATGATGAGGCACACAGCTCAAATTAGGTAAGCTCCAGATGGCAAAGAGAGAGACTTTAGCAACTGTCTTCAGTACACCGTCTTCCAATTCTAAAAAAACACTAACGATTTGCAGTTAAAGTCACCTGATTTTCACAGATTGCAGCAGCAATCCCTTAACTCATTCCTGGTAAATACAAATAACAGATCCATAAATGCTGAATTAAAGGGTGGCAAAGGTTTAACTATTTTGCTATTTCTAAAACACAAAGATTGCTATACCTGCTTGTAAAGCAAAGGTGCCATCTGCAAACCGCCTTCCAATGTGATAGCAAGTTACATGCTATGTACCTCAACTGCATTCCATTTAAACTGACAGTGTGGGAGGCCCTCACTCAGACAAGGTGTTAGTCATTTGATTGCACAGTGCGTCCAAAGAACTTCAGCAAGGGTTTGATACTACAACAGATGGCTGGGAAGTGACAAGACACACGTAAATCATGGGCGGCAGCAGCCCCATCCACAACCCAGTAAAGACAAGAATATCAATTTACCCCATTTGCACACGTGGTGCATAAATCAGCTTTTGCACATCTGCCGCTTGCAATTCTCATAAAAAGTAGCTCTTAGTTTTTGAGACTATCATTTAAATGGAAAACCTGCAGGCACTTCCACACAAAAAAGATTTAAGCATATCTTTCATTGGAAAGAAAGAAGGAGCATACATTTTCTTTCTCTCTTCAGTCTAGCTAGCCCGCATGAACAGCCAGATGTTGCACAAATGCACAAGCAGCTTAAATGCCCTTTTTCAGAAAAGAGCCCCAATGCATGGGAGGCTTAATTTAAAACCATCTCACTTCCAGGTTCTATTCCAAATGACCAACATTCACAAGTGACGTATTTCGTAACGGAAGGCTTTTGCGATGCTGGATCCAATGCGACGCTGGATCAGGGACTCCAACGGGACTCCAGCAAATTGCACCTGCGGCCAGACCCACCTGGTCGAAGGAAGTCCCTGAGGAAGGCAACAACTCCTATATGCGTCTACTCAGAAGCAGGGGCACAGGGTTTGCCCTTAGGTAGTGCAGCCTGAGACCACAACGCGGCACGTTCGCCTAGGGCCAAGCCAGCTCCCCTCGCGCCGACGATGCCCGTTCGGGGGGGGGGGGCCTCCAAAATCGCGGCGCGAAATCGCCTTCTGAAAACCCCCCGTTATTCTAGCAGCCGGCGGAGCTGCATCCCCGCTGCGGGAGAAGGAGGGGCGCCGCTTCTCGCATGCAAGAGAAAATGAAAGAAATACGTTTCATGCAGCTTTCGGCGCAAGCCAAGCGGGCTGCGCATTCTCCCCCCCTCCCTCCCCCAGCCTTAGAAATGTGAATAATTCCAGCCGGGAAGCGGCGCTGGCTGCGGCTCCTCACCTCCCCTGAGGCGTTTCTTCCTCCTCGTCGTCCATGGCGGGGCTGCTGCTGCTGCTGCGCTTTCTGCCCGGTTCCTGCTGCTGCTGCCGCTGCTGCTGGCCCCAAAGGCCTCGAGGCTGCCGGCGCTCCTTGGCCGCTGCCCGCCCGCTGCCGGGCGCCGAGGGGGGAAAGAGCGCGAGGCCGGAGCTCCACAGCGCCCTGCGCCTCACCATGGGACGCCCCCGCCGCCGCCGCCGCCGCGCCTTCCCCGGCCCACCCGAGCTCGCCACCGCCCTCTCCCTCCCCGGAGAGGAACGGCTCCTCCTTCCTCAGCTTTCCCTCCTCCACGCGACTGGTCCACGCTTGGTCGCGAAGTCCTTCTTCCCCGCAGGACTGGGGCACGAAGGGGGCGCGGGGTGGCACCCGGGGCAGAGGAAGGAGCTGCCACGTGGAAGTGTCCGGCCATAGTCACTCAGGTGCTACTTGCTCTGCACATCTGCTTTAGGTGGTCTACTTGCGGGAAATCTGAGTGCGTGTTTGGACACGTGTCATGCTTAGAGATGGGAAGGCCTGGAAAAAAACAGGGAAAACAGGGGGGAAACAGAGCCCCCCCCATTTCCCCCACAATTTTTCTGGTTTTTTCCCAGGCCTTCCCATCTCTAAATGCTCCTCCTGGAGCAGTTTGTCCACCTTCGGTCTTGTATGCTAATCATGCACAAGTGGCAAATTCCCTTTATCTGCTGTTTCCTTTTTTTTTAGCACCCTGGGGACCAGAAGTCCCACCCATTTATGGTAGCGCATAAAATTCTTAATCTCGGGGTTGTGGATTTGAGCCCCATGTTGGGCAAATGATTCCTGCATTGCAGAGGGTTGGACTAGATGACCCTTGTGGCCCCTTCCAACTCTACAAGTCCATAATTCCATATTGTGAGCCCTGTAAAACACCACTGGTTCCCACTGTCACTGGGATCTCAGCGTCCCTCTTTATTATAAAATGTGTCCATCCTGCTGCCAGTTAGATGCCATATTGTATTGGCTTGTTCTACCTGTCCATAGAAAATAACAGCAGAAAGAACTAAATAACAGTGTGATGTAATTATACACACAGAAACACACAGTATCTATCCATCTCTCACACTGCAAATCCTTGAGTTTCCAATATAATCTTTCTCTCCATCTGGGGTCCAGAAGCTCACTTTTCAGAATGTTTTAACACTGTTTCTTTGTTCCAGAAAATCTCGCAAGATCTGAATTCCACATATTGATATAGGGCAATACATTTGTATATGTACCCTCAAGCATGATCTACAATTTAAACTCATTTTTTAATCATGGCAATAAGCATGCAGTCCGGACTAGGCTCTCATAAACAATCAAGGCCAAGAAAAATGTATGTGTGTGTCCTTCTCTTTCTCCTCTGTCCTGCCAGCATACTAACTTCAGGTAAAATGTGTGGACTAGCTTGATAGATGCAAGCATAGTATCCAAGTGGTGCAATTCTTTTATTTCCAAGTGGTGCAATCCAAATGGTGCAATGCTTTTATTTCTGTTGTTTCATCTATGAAATCTCATTTACTCATGCAAGTCATCACATGATATTAGTTATTAAATGAGTAACTTGCATGTGTAAAACCAGTCCATGACCATTGAAAGAACTTTGTCCCTGCTAAAAGATAGGGAAAAAAATTTTGCCTGATGTTTTTCTGCCTATTATGAAAGTACTAATGGCACATGATTCCTGCCAAAATGATTGTTCATAAACTTTGGGTGCTTCTAGGCTGTTGCTGTTTTCAGGTGTGGCTCAATCAACTACCATCAAATTCAGGTTGTGCAATTAAAGTTGATTGGGAGGTCATATTCCCTAAAAGACCAGACTTTTTGCAATAAGGAAAGTGACAGGAAAATGGAGGGGATAACACTTGCTTTGATGCAACATTATCTAGCTTCTCTGCAAAGAAATTGCAGTGAATGCTCATTAAATAATCAACATCATTAATCTCACTGAAAACAAATCAGGATAAAAAATAAGCAGGTTTTCTGGAAGTAACCTTAAAGTCTACACCCATTTTTACTCAATGCTGTGGCGATAGACAAAGCCCGCCTTGCCTGTATTGGTTCACACTGGCCCATGAAGAACTCATTATGTGGCACATGGGGACCTTAAGCTTTGGGGACCCTGCAGCAAAAGTCACTTTTAAAATATTTGTGATTGTGTGTCATAACAACCTGAAACTGGACTGTATCTTGAAGTGGTGTTAATTATGCACAACTATATTGCCATCTGCTGAAACAGTGTGCAATCTGCATGGTAAGACTTTTCTTTCTATCTATCATCTATCTATCTATCAATCATCTATCTATCTATCTATCTATCTATCTATCTATCTATCTATCTATCTAATCTATCTATCATCTCTCTCTCTCTCTCATCTATCTATCTATCTATCTATCTATCTATCTATCTATCTATCTATCTATCTATCTAATATTGCTTACTTGAAATAAAAGTTCTTAAGTAGTTCCCAAGGTAAAAAGGTAAAGGACCCCTGGATGGTCAAGTCCAGTCAAAGGCGACTATGGGATTTGGCGTTCATCTCGCTTTCAGGCCAAGGGAGTCGGCGGTTGTCCACAGACAGCTTTCCGGGTCATGTGGCCAGCATGACTAAACCACTTCTGTCACAATAGAACACTGTGATGGAAGCCAGAGCGCACAGAAATGCCGTTTACCTTCCTGCCACAGCAGTACCTATTTATCTACTTGCACTGGTGTGCTTTCAAACTGCTAGGTTGGCAGAAGCTGGGACAGAGCAACGGGAGCTCACCACCGTCATGTGGATTCAAACCGCCAACCTTCCGATCGGCAAGCTCAAGAGGCTCAGTGGCACCACCCCTGAGTTTACAAGTAACTATATGGTACAATATAATCATCTGTCACAGATTACTCACTCCTTATTTCTTGAACCACCTGACACATAAAACATTCCTTATTCCAGACATCATAAAATAAAAACTTCAGCACACTGGAATCCTTCAAATCTAAAATAGCCATTTGAGAGTTCTAGTTTCAGCTTCCAAGTTCTGCTCTAGGTTTCTGCAACTGCTTAACTGCAAGGGAGTATGTGGCACTCATTAATTGCATGAATTGAACATAATCAACATGTTCAGTACACAGTGCCAGCTGTCTAGAGTTTGGGGGTGACATAGTAGAACCGCAATTAAATCTCTGCTATTGATGAATATATAATCTTTAACATTTGAAGACTAGAAACACAGTAATCAGTAAAATTATCACCATGTTGATATGCAGATTTTACAAATTCCCAAGGGTGGTTTTATTCTTTTTAACTGGGGAAAACAAGACAGACTGCATCAATAGATATAACAAAGAATAAGGAGGAGATAAACAGTTTAGATCCAAAGATATCTATGTAGATGGTTAAAAATAATGACGCTTTTTAAATTATGCAGTATTAATCATATGCCATCAGGAAACCTTATTTAAGGTAGTGATAATGAGAATTAACCTGTTTCACTTGCATGTATTTAATTAATCCTAAATTTATTTTAGAAAAAATAAAATGCTTATTTGTATTTATACTCCCACTAATCCAATGGATAATTTATTTGAAACACTCTTCATGTCTGCATTCTTTGTTTTGTTTTGTTTTTAAACAAATGAGGTTTTCTTTTGCTATAACAAAAGCAGAATACAGCTAAATGAAAAATGACAGTCATATATGGTTAATCACTACTTGTGTTTAACATTAATAGTGATGTATTCCTAGAAAATGATACCAAAAGTTGTACATTTGGTAAGAAAACATGGTGTCTCAAGGACATTCTCCTGATTTTTTCTTTTCTGTAACCAAGAGTGTGATTGAAAAGAAAAGTCAGGATGGTCTCTCTGTTCTAATCCCCTCTGAGCTATTGACATGCTGTATGACCTTGGGCAATTTATTGAGCCACTTGGGCACAATTTATCCTTGGTGCCTTTCAACAATGGAGTTAGTCCAGGAATATATTTGTGCTCTTTTGCTTCAGTTTGTATTAAGACATTAAATAAAAGACAGAAAACTCAAAAGTAACAGAAAAACAACTTTTGAACAGATTACATTTCACAATTTTAAAGTGTATAAACTTTAAAACAATTTATTATTCCACAAATACAATTTTGTAAACTTATCTTGTGTACCACCTCCCCCCCCCCCAATGGGGCTCATGCAGGATGCTTTGGCTTTGTACACATTACTGGTGCCAAATGCAGCTAGGTCATTCTTTTTATCAATTTGGATTGAAGCAGAATTGGGGGGAAATGCATCAGAATGCAGTATTTCATAAGAAACATAAGGATAGCTGTAGTTTGCGACTAATGTGGGTACACCACCTCTCAAGCCAGCAGCATAAACACACTGGATGTGTAGTAAAGGGGAGTGTATACACAGCCTTTAGCAGTGGAGTTGCCCAGATATTCTGAAGAAAATTGCAGAATATACAACAAAATGTATTTTCGATATATGTTTAAAGAACTCTTTTATTCAGTCAACTATTCATTTCATGATAATTGATATGCTTTAGCTTCCAGTCTCAGAAAATTTGAGTTTGGGTAGGTTGAAGAAGTATTGCGTATAATTTACAACACAATTAGTTGTGAGCAACCAGAGTGACCCATCTCACCAAAATTACTTAGAACGATACTGCACATTTTGCTCCGTAATGTTCTTTCTAGCAGCGCTATAAACATATTCTAATTGTTGGCAGCCCTGCACAAACACACTCAAAAACAGGAAGCAGGAGAAGAAGTGGAGGCTACAATGAGATAGGATAGGGAACAGAATGTATCTTTCCCAGGCCCTAGGATGGATGAATCCCAAGCCGGAATTAAGATTGTCGGAAGAAATATCAACAACCTCAGATATGCAGATGACACAACCTTGATGGCAGAAAGTGAGGAGGAATTAAAGAACCTTTTAATGAGGGTGAAAGAGGAGAGCACAAAATATGGTCTGAAACTCAACATCAAAAAAACGAAGATCATGGCCACTGGTCCCATCACCTCCTGGCAAATAGAAGGGGAAGAAATGGAGGCAGTGAGAGATTTTACTTTATTGGGCTCCATGATAACTGCAGATGGTGACAGCAGTAACGAAATTAAAAGATGCCTGCTTCTTGGGAGAAAAGCAATGACAAACCTAGACAGCATCTTAAAAAGCAGAGACATCACCTTGCTGACAAAGGTCTGTACAGTTAAAGCTATGGTTTTCCCAGAAG